GATCACCTATCAGATTTATCAACCAATGGCAATAAATCAAGCATTATAGGGCTATTGGCTTTAAGGCTATATGTCAATTAACATGACCCTATGTCAAAGATAAGTTGAGTTGATGGTGGTCACCAATAAGGACCAACACTTAAAAGTTGTAAAAAATTTACAAAAAAGTATAAGGAATGTCAACGTAAAAAGTTAAGTCACCAGAAACAAGAAGCCTTTTATGGTTGGCCTACTGTATTTAGAATAATTCATTCAAATATTTCCATTCACTCAAAAACATCAATGTTAAAACCATACAGAAAGGCTCACACCACAACTCTACTGTATGTTATCACCATGACCATCAATGACAGTACAGTACTAATGATGCAGTAATTTGATATTGCATAATACATATTTATAATAATAGTATATCATATGATGATAGTGAATCCAAGTGTCTATGAGTTGTACAGCTGATAATACTACAACATGTTCTAATTATGTATGGATGGAACCTGTTGGGCTCACTCTTATTATTTCTATACGGGGAGGTGCCGCATTTATGGGGTATATTTTCGAGGACTTGTAGCACCAAGAGTGGGAAATAACCAGGGCGAAATTGGTAGTCAAAATCCCTGGCCTATCCTGTGTCAATGTGCCATGATTTTCCGCAAAATGTTAGCGGGAATTTCAAGCTAGACTGGGTGCTAAGCCAGTAAACCCCTTGCTATGCCTACCTTTCGGTACAGCCACGACACTTTTTGCCATCGGGAACAAGTAAATATTGCGCACTCTCTGGCACTATTGAGTGGCCATTTTCCTGTTGTCTTTTAGAGCACAGTGCGATTTTGGTAAAATGGTAGTTCATAAGAATTTTCGGTAATATAGGTAGCGCAAGTGTCTCATGTCTTGAAGTGGCTGCGGCACCCCCCTGTTTGCTATGCGAGTGAGCTCCCTGGGGGATGGAAATAAAACATTCACACTCCCAACATCCATGCTCCCACTTCCAAGTTCAAAACATACAGAAAGCCAGCCTCACACCACAGCTCTATGTTATGACAATGACCATCAATGTACTAATGATATGCAACTAGTGATGCAGTAATCAGATATTGCATAATTACATATTTATAATAATTTGTAATTCACATGATAGTGAATCCAAGTGTCTATGATTTGGGCAGCTTTACCAATATACTAATGATATGCATCTAATGATGCACTAATTAGATATTGCATAATACATATTTACAGTATAATATAGTAATAGTAAATCACATGATAGTATAGTAATAGTATTAAAATCACATGATAGTGAAATCCAAGTGTCCATGATTTGTGCAGCTTTACCAATGTACTAAAGATAAGCAACTAATGATGCACTAATTAGATATTGCATAATATATATTTATAATATAGTAATAGTAAATCACATGATAGTATAGTAATAGTGAATCCAAGAGTCTATGATTTGTGCAGCTTTTCCACATGTTCCCACTATGAGTGGGGATGGAACATCTATACTCTTAACCTCCATGTGCCCACTAATTTCTGCTCTAACACCTTCTCACTCCTACAGAATTGCGGATTTATTGGGCTTTGATCAGTCTAGGAACATGACACTAATATTTGACTATCCAGTGAGTATCGAGTGTGAATATGAGAAAGGGGATTACTGTCATCAATGTAAACACAATTGAAATTCAGTCCTTTGTAATGAGAATCATCCATGCATGCAATAATCAAACAATAGCTGTCAATGGTCTATCACTGCAAATCCATACATAGGCCTACTGTATTGTAGAGGTCAAATTCAAAGCTGTAAATAACTGAATTACAATCTAATTTAACAGGGGAAGATCCAGAATATTTGAAACGAGGGGACACCAATTTCATATAGGCTTAGTTGTAATATACTTACACACATAAAATAAGTATTCAATAATGGTATGATTCATGTTAAGTATGTGTTGTTTCGGCAAATTGTTACCTTTTAATATTGTATTTTTTTTCTAATAAAAAATATAAAGATGGTAATGGCAAAACCAGACATGATATTAATTTCTTTAAATATTTAATGTTAAGTGTATGAAAGCTCTGGCATATTGTGCAAAGTCTAATATTATTATTTGACATTGGGATTTTCTTTTAATAATAATAATAATAATAATAATAATAATAATAACAATAATAATAATAATAATAATAATAATAATAATAATAATAATAATAATAATAATAATAATAATAATAAGATAAAGTGTGCAAGTTACCTTTCAGAGTTCTTTCAGAGTTATAATAATTATAATAATAATAATTACAATAATTATAATAGTTATAGTTATGCGATTAATAATAATAATAATAATGTTTTAATAATGTTTTAATAATAATAATAATAATAATAATAATAATAATAATAATAATAATAATAATAATAATAATAATAATAAAAATAAATGAATGAATTAAAATGTCAAAAGCTCAGAGAGAAAGGCCCATGATTCGATAGCTCAGTCCATAAAATTGGGTTTTTTCCAATTCTAATAAGACAGTCTTTTAAGTAAATGAACAGACTTGCTTTTTTTTGTGAAAAGGAAATTCCAATGAATTTCCCAATGTGAATTTTCCTCAGGCAAGCTGTATAAGGAAATCCTTCTCAAAGCAACCCATGCAGAGAGTTTCCTAAAGAAAAAAACTGTCACAGAAAGTCAAGGAAACAGCCTGTACCTTGAATAACAATTATTTGTTCCGTATTAACATCATTCCATTGTCAATATTTATAGAAAACATGATCTAGTCTTCCTGATATGACTTGCTTTTCAAAATTTAAATAAAATATAGTATGTAATAGAAATTATGATACAATAAAAAATGGTGTGGAAACAGGAAATAGTACTGAGGACATATCCTTTACCACAACAAAATGTGTTTGTACATAAAGAATGGTTTATAGTTCCATTAGAAACTTGTGAAAAGATACTCATGTCATATTATATACATAAAAATGATTCCAATTGCAAACCTAAAACTGTGTCCACACTACCTGATCACAAAGTAAGTGACAAATCTGTGTGATGCACACGGTCATGACGATGTCATATTACACCCAAAATTAGGACGCGTCACATTTTTTTTTGTTCCATAAAATTTGATAGTGTGGACAAGGCTTAACAAAAAATTCAAATGTTCTAAAATATATTACAGGACCTTATTGATCTTATTAATTTAATAACTGTACTGTGATAACGGCACAGTAGTATCTGTTACATCCTTTTACCACAACAAAATGTGTTTTTAGTTCCGTATTCGGAAACTTGTCGAAAGATACTCTACGTCAAATTATTTAGAATAATGATGATTCAAATTCTAAAACTATATAAGGCTCCATCCACATTATCACATTTTATGTGACAAAATGTGTGTGATGTGTCCATATATGGGCATGATGATGTCATATTACACCCATATATGGACACTTGATACACATATTAATAATAACTGCACTGTGACTTGTAAGATGGAAACACATTGAAATTAAAAGTTATATTTTTGTAATCCAAAATAAATGTTCAACAAGAACAAAATTTGAACCGCAAGAATTGGGCTATACAGTTCAGAATAAATTCTTACTTGATTAAGAGTTTGGACTTGACTTTTCCCTGTTGGGATGGGGGAGAATGGGCAACCCACTAATTCCCTTATCCCCTTAGATATGCCTCTGCTGACCAAATACATTGTCATCTTGACTATCAATTGTCGAGAAAATTCATTCAGATTGATTGAATGAACCATGCTAGCATCAGACGCATTTACTTAACATTTTTACATGCTGCTGAATGATACAATTTAAGCATCAAACCATGTATAGTATGCTCAGTTTAGGCTGCTTGTTGTTGATAGTTAGGACTATGTGCCCATAGTGGTCCCCTCCCACCACCAAGCAAATAAAGTTAATAGTACATAATGGCTTTGAAGGCCTAAGGCCAACGTGTGAAGCTCCTGGCTGTACCTGCTCAGACTGAAAAAAGGGTCTTAAGGGAGACATACTTGAAGTCTGCACATTCAAAAAATAAGGGCAGATAAATTTTATATAAATTAGGCCTAGGCTACATTTCATTATACCACATTAATATTGCACATCAATTTTCCACACAATTTTTAGTTAGATTTCAATTCATCCCCTGCACAAATAAAATGCTTTAAGTTCTTATGTACATTCTGTTAAAATCTTCAATTATTTTCATCCTCCTATCACATTCCCTCAACCAGGCTAAAATAAATACACCTCCTAGATAAGTATAAAATTGGGTCTGCATGCAGAATATCATCTCACAAAAGCTTAACAGTACGCCTTGAAATCCAACTGGTCAATTATTAAATTGAGGCCGATTTCCTCGCAAATTGTGCATAGAATGTGGCCTAGGCCTATATTTCAATATACTACCAAGTTACAATTCTGCGAACCTATTTCTAAGTAATTTTGAGTTAGTTTCTGATATATTATAATTTATATATCCCCACAAACAAATAAAACATTTATTATTAGTATGTATATTACTTAGGCTACTTTACATAGTGACCAGTCTCAACATAATTTTAGGACAGCATTTTATTACTGGTACTTCTGGTCGAGCACAAACATAGGCCTTGGTATATGTTAGGCTGTCTCGCCTAGGCCTAGCTTTAACACAAATTGCATCGAGGCCCTAGCTAGGCCTACCTATTTTCTCTCCTAATTTTCCTTTATAAATTGTGCATAATTATGTGTTTTCTTCCTGATTAGGCCTAGATCCAGGGAGGTGCTAGCCTATCACTGTATCAGCTTATCACTCCTGATACAAATGAACCTTACAAAACAACCTCTTAAAGGCCTTAGTAGGCCAGGCCGAAGCTATTTCTAGGCCCATTCCACAAGGTCCGGGATGTGGCTTTATCGATGACCACACAGAGAAAAAAATACAGAAACCACCTGGGCTAGGCCTAAGCGACAATCAAGGGAAAAAAACAGAACCCACCTTCCTAAATTCTGATTAGCAAGTTGCCTCATACGATTCATGTGCTTCTTAACTGCGTCTTTCTTTATCATTTTTGCGACGGTTTTACACGAAAAATTGAAAAAATTGTAGTCTTGTTGGGTAAACAAGGTTCTCCAATGTTCCGTTAGTACCTCATCTCCTCTCCTCCCCCTGTGTTTGCCTTCTGATCGCAAAACAGGAAGTAAAATGACATTATACAGCGCCCCCAAATTCAGCTCTGCAATAACTTGTAACTTGGATCCGACGTTGACCATCTGCGTCTAAATAAAATAAAGAAGATGCCCATTGGCATTGCAATGGGTCAGTACAAGAACGCAACATTCTTCAAATAGTACATTTTGATCTAAACCATCGAATATCAAGAATTGTTGTATGAAAACCTTTTGGATTGCCATCCATTAGTAGGCCTAATACCAGTTTACTAGCTATAGCTTATTCACGAATAACACAACATTTTACCATTTTAATTTTCAACAGTTATTTCGGGCACCCATGTTGACAGTTTAACTTTTAAATTATGTTTTATTTTTCCATTTCTGTCTTTAAATGTTCCTTAAACCGGCCTTAAAGGTGCAATATAAATAACCGCGCCCCAATAAATAGTCTTGACTTGGTCTAAAATGATTTAAGCAATGATCCAGTAATCATGGACTACCTACAATATGGGAACTAAACAGGTAAAAAATATTTTCCAGGTTTTGGGCTTCCCATACTGGATAGACATGATTTTTTTGGGGTTTTTTTCCCAGAGAAAAAAAGGCATAGTCTACTGCTGTGGAGACCGCACAAAGTCCTTGGTGGGAACCCAGGTGAATTCTGTAGGGTTCCAAGACAAAATATCCCCAATTTAATTCAAAAATAAAATAAAAAAATGAAAGTAAACAGAAGTTTCGGCATGAAATCATATACTTAGGACGAAAATCTATAATCTGTGTTTTGTTTTTCTTTTTATCTCTTATACCACTATTTCGTTCCAAATAGTGACTACCTGGCACTTTTATAACGAGGCCTGGGTGTAGGCCTATATGAGATATTGTACTGTAATTGCATTTCACACATTTAATGCGAGCTATTGATTAGCTTGTTTTCGAATAAGAGAATATTTTTGGACAGACACGCCCAAGGGTGCGAGTTTTTTCACTTTTGTCTGGTTCTTGTATACTGGCAGGGGCCTACTGGTATGGGCATTTATAATGCTTCTCTTTCTTGCGGTTATAAAGCGCAGTTCTTTCCCTGGTCATTGGGTCCGCATGCTAAGTGTTGCTGCTGGTAATCAGCGCAGGAGCAGGCAACCCCACCAGGTACCCACTATACTCCTGGGTGGAGAGAAGCAATGCAGATAAAGTGTCTTTCTCAAGAACACAAGCGAAATGCATTAAAACCCAGACTAGTTTGGGAAACCGTGGCTTTCGCCGTGCTTGTGCATGATTGTTTTTAATTGTTGTGTTCATTTGTTTTTATTCTTTTGATGATTGTCTTTTAAAAACTTCTTCAGACAGTTTTATTGAATTCATTTTGCTGTATTTTACTATGCTTCTTCTTTTGTAAATTGCTGCCAAATTAATAAAATAAAGAATAAAATACCAATAGGCAGAAAACTTTGTCAACGTGAGGCGCTATATAAACCCAGAATTATTATTATTATTATTATCATTATTCTTATTATTATTATTATTATTATTATTATTAATATTATTATTATTAT